CCAATGAGGGTGCATATTGAAGAGTCGTCCAAAGAGGGGCTGTTATTGTACAATCAGGGTTCTCTGCCTATGTAGCTGCTAAAACAAACTACAGATCACGCCTCAATGCAGAGCCAGATATTTGGTTGCAGCTGTCCCAAATTTAACCAGTGATAGCCACATTGTGCAAATCAAAACAGTCCCATAACTCTCATTAGAATCTAAGTTCCCAAGCTATACTTTATCGTTCTTTTTCGATGCCAGGTGACATTTTTGGTTTTGCAACTGTAAAAAAAAGTTCTAACTAGCATATGTATGTATGTATGTAATATACTGTTGACTTACAATACCTGCTTTGAATTTGTTCTCAAATGTTTTGCCTTACTCTATGTTTTTTGTTATTGTTTTTTGCTTACATAGTTAAGTAAGTTCTCTGAAATTAGTGGGGAAAGTAGCATTTTGAATGAAGTGAAACTTGATGTTTAACATGCCCAAATGCTTAAAAGTACCCTCCATCATCAATACTACTGTCATTCGGTTCAGTGCCTATGTAGGTGCTAGGTGAAAATATTGTCCTTATGCCAAAGATATGTATGTGCAACACTGGTGTTTTGAGAAAACAGTATTTAACTTCCATTTTTAATGACTTTCAATGGGGGAAAATAAGTTTGGATCAAAATTTTGCTATATGATAAAACATCAACTAACAACTCCGTGACTTTAAAAGTTTGGGAAATGCTGTTGTACACAGGTTGCATTTAAATCACAGCTGAAGCATGTCTTCTCTCAAAGTGTTTAGTGGGTCCCTATAGAGGACCTGCTATAAGCCTGTGCCATAATACTGGTTCTCTTGCAACATCTGTTGGTGTCCTATAAGAACATTAAGGTGAGGATTGCAGTATGTTTTAAGTGCACTGAGAAATCATTTATCGGTACTAGTGGCTTCTGGTAACCCAGCTTTTTGCATTTGTGCAGCCCAGACAGGCACACTACTTATTCGACAGCAAGGGCTATATACCAGATTTTGTACTCATTAGAATTTTTCTGTTTTTCCTATGCAGGAATCAAAAACGTCTCACAGTTGCATAAATGAGACAATGGTTCCTTAAAGTACCCCCTCTCCAGAAAATTATAATTAAACTAAGCAAACTAATAAATAAATGAATGCCGAACGAATTTTAGACAGGAAAAAAGAACCATGTTCATCATCTTCATACCTTCTCATACAGCCAGGCTACTGTTTTTCTCCTGAGACATGGCAGAGACAACATGCAGCCCTAATATCAGGCACAGGTTCAGAGCAGTGTAAGGTTTCCCATTTCCTGATACACTTCAAAAGAATGCCTGTATTGCAAAGATAGCTTTGTTCTGGTTAGCATCAAGTTCTCAACAGCCTACTGATTTAGAGGGAGTTAAAGCTATCAGCCATGCCAGAGAGCACAAACATAGATCAGCATGCCTCTATTTCCAATGTTCAGCTGCGTGTGCTGTTGTTTGTGTAGCCAACAAAACACAACCCACAAGCAAGAAGAAGGTACCGTCAAGCTTCAGGGCACATCAAGGTTTTCAAAAGTACAAAAACCTTTAGGAAAAATAGCTAATAGTGATCTCATTTCTAATAGTGATCTCACTTCACCAAGTGGTGATGACTGGGAACAGAACACCGATGGATCATTAAGGGAGAAAATAGAAAGCTTTGTAGCAGGCTGCACTTGTAAATTCTAAAGACTGGTGCCTTTTCACAGGTCCATTCTAAAGCGATATTACACACACACACAAAATTTTCTTCTGCTGATTTAAAGACTCTTCCAAAATGCTTTACCTGGAATATAGTCAGACCCAGCTCTCGCTTCTAGACACTATGGACTAGTGGTCATTTTTTTGGCTCCCCCCCCCCCCCAGTACTTCCCTTGAAACTACAAGGTTTAAATTTCTCTTTCCTTGGACAGAATGCACATTGTTTATACAGTAATCTTTTAAAAATCCACTAGAGTTGTAATTTCTATTGGGAATTGGTCTGCTGCCCACTCAAAGCTGGAAACAAGCAGTCAGATTTTTTAAGATTTTTTTTTTTTTGAGATGCAACCAGTCCTTTTAAAAAGTACCTGTCATTGTGAGGTAGCTGAACCAGTAAAACAGTGGCTAGCTGGCATCCCTACATGCACACCTTCACATTTATTTAATGCTCCTTCCTTATTTCTGCTTTTATAAAGCCAAACTTATTACTGGCAACAGTAGTTTAAAGAAGATGATACAGTGGTACCTTGGTTTAAGAACAGCTTAGTTTATGAACAACTTGGATTAAGAATGCTGCAAACCCGGAAGTAGGTGTTTTGGTTCGTGAACTTTGCCTTGGAGGCAGAACATGTTCCGTTTCCTGTTGAGTGTTTTCCATTTGTAAACTGAGTCCCCCGCTGCTATGGGAAAGCACACCTTGGTTTAAGAACACTTTGGTTTAAGAACGGACTTCCGGAACGGATTAAGTTTGTAAACCAAGGTACCACTGTACTGGACTTCCATAAGGCAACTTACCATGGTTCTGTCATCTAAAATATCAGCAATAAGAATTTCCCAATATCAAGGAAGCAGACGGGCCATAGCTAAAAACCTTGTGTCTCTTGTGGAAGTCATTTTTGCACTTTCATATGCACTGATCTAATTTGTATGTAACACTAAACTGTGGTTTAGCATTACATGCATGAGCCTCAGGGTCATGAGCTCCCCCCTTCCTTATTCTGCACAGTTACAAAGAGCTCAGAAGCATATTATTATGATTTATTAAATTTCTATACTGCCCTGCATCCTAGGATCACAGGGCGGTTTACAATATAGAAACACAAAAATAACATAGGAACAAATGAAAACAGTAACTCCCCCCCCCCCCAGGGGCCAGGATTTAGGGAGAGACAACATCATGTTCTACATGGAATAACACAAAACATTTCCTTTTATTGTTAGTAAATTCATAGAGAAATTTCTTAAAGAAGAAAAAGACACACTACACATCTTGTTTTAAAAAGAAACTATCCATGTTATCAGAAAGATTGTAGGTTTTTGCTTTTTTAAAAAGATACACAGTATTTTGTTCTTCACCTCTACTTCAGTTGCCCTGGATTTATGAGGTCACTTTCTTCTGCATTTTTCTTCTCTTTCAAGTTCTGCTTCCATGCAAATTATTTTGTCATATACTGTACACTGGGAAAAATAACAGAGATCTGATTCTGTGGGATTTTTATCATCAGGTTTTTTAAAATGAGAATATAAGATCTTTACAATATCAACTTTATATCCTGCCTTGGAGTCTCAAAATGTTTGTTCTTTCTGATAACATAAATTCCAGTACGGAAGAGTTCTTTGAAGAAAATCTCCTGTCTAGCCATTTTTGTTTTAGCCCAAGTAGAGTTTAATATTTATATTGTGTGATTAAGCCAAGTATCAGTAACCATCCATCAAAGCATCTGCTCCTTATTTTTCTGATAGAAAACTTTATATAGCTATAGGTACTGTAACAGCTGCACTTCGGTAAATGCTATCAATCAAATTAAAAACAAACTTGGTCAAATGTGGCAATCCCAAGTCAAAATCCCACCTTAGACATAGTCACACCTGGTCTTTCCATACAGGCAGAGTAAGCAAATAGCATACAGAGAGCAAGTTATGTTTTTTAAAAAATTCCCCCACATAAACAGAAATCCAATAGAGCAAGCAAAGATCTGGGCTTGAAGCCTTTGTGCTGATCTGTTACTGCAGATCCCATCTGCATTATACATTTGAAGCATTATTAGACCACTTTAAGTAGTCAAAGATATCTAACCTTGCTCAAGAGTTAGCAAGGGCTACCAAACAATGGAGCTAGTGGAAAACTCCCCCCCCCCAATTGACACAATGTTTGGTAGGTCCCTCCCCACACAACCATATGAAGAGGTGTTTGTGGGGAATTCAGGAAGCTGCAGAAGGGGGAAGGACGAAAATCACTGTATGAGCTTGCCTTCTATTTGCACAGCTCTGGATACAACCCAGTGTTTTATGGACTTACTGTTTTAAAATTCTTAGCAGCCCTGAGAAGTCCTGAAGAACAGCAATCATCAAATAAATAAAAGTAAATATGGAAAACCCCAGACCTTCATTCAATAAAACGGAAACAAAATATTTGGAAGACATTCCATTAATGTCAAATGGAACTAATTTCCACATACTTATCAGAGGAGTGAATCCAATAGGCCATTGTACAAGTGAAACAACTTCCGCTCACAAAGCAGAACAGGTTGGGGAACTCCTACAGCTGATGGGGGGGGCGTACAGGGGCATATAGAGAGTAGGAAAGGAACTTAGGTTGTGATGGTGAAAGTCATTGGGCTCCTGCAATGATTTGGTTGGATACAACACAGTTTGAGCTAATCTTTTAGCAGGAAATAACAGCTGCAGCTTGCTTGAAAAGCAAAGTGTTGGTGGAAATTGCCCCCCCCCCAAATTAGAATATATTTTATTCAGACTTTCTGAAACATACAGTATTTTTCGCCCTATAGGGCGCACCAGCCCATAGGGCGCACTTGTTTTTTTTTGGGGGGGGGGGATAAAGGAAAAAAAAATATCCCCCCCCCGAGCCCCAAAGAGCAAAGAAGCCATGACAGCGAGCAGGATGGATCCCGCTAGCTGTCTTGGCTTCGTTTTTAGCCTTAGGGCTGGGGGTCCGGGAGCGATGGCGAGGTTGCGCTCAACCTCGCCATCACTCCCGGAGCTTGCCGGGCTGGGGGCGGGGGAAGCCCGAGCTTCCCCCGACCCCAGCCCCCAGAATGGGTCAACCTCGCCATCGCTCCTGGAGCTTGCTGCTATCCGAAGCCCAGGGAGCGTGGCACTGTAGCCCGCTATGCACCCCAGGCTTTGGGCTGCAAGCACCTATCCACAAGCCTGCGGCGCCCAGCGAGAACTCCCGCCGGGCTCTGCGGGCTCTGCGGATAGCTGCCATAAGCCCAGGGTGCACAGTGCCGCACTCCCCGGGCTTCGGGCTGCAGGCAGCTATCCGCAAGCCTTCGGAGCCCGCGGGAGTTCCTGCCGGGCTCCGCAGGCTTGCGGATAGCTTCTTGAAGCCTGGAGAGCAAGAGGGGTCGGTGTACACCGACCCCTCTCGCTCTCCAGGCTTCAGTGAAAGCCTGCATTCGCCCCATAGGACGCACACACATTTCCCCTTCATTTTTGGAGGGGGAAAGTGCGTCCTATAGGGCGAAAAATACGGTAATTCTGGACTAGATACTATTCCTTCAAAGACTTGCTCTTCGTCTTCAAGTGTAGAAGCATCTGTGGCAAACTGACACAGGGCACATTTATTAACAGTACAACCTGCCAATGTATAGCCCAGGTGAAATGCATGCAACTAGAGCTCTTAGTTGAAATATATACCCCATTCATGTGGTCCGCAGCCAGTTATTAAAAGGGACTTCTCTGTTGTTGCTGCTGCAATATTGAAAGAGATGTTGTTTTGAACAGCACATACACAATGTTATGTCTTGGACAATTTAGGATACAAAGGTGTGATTGCAAAACCTACTAAAACAAAAAAATCCAAAATGTAAAATAATGACTCCATCTGTACATATCATGGAAAGGTTGTGTAACTTTTATGGGGAATATCATCAGTGGGAAAAGCTGCATTGCTAGTAGTTTCAGACAGGTATTTTAAAACAAATTTAAGTTGGCCTCTGATTAGCCATGAAGTTCACTGGATGACACTGGACCAGCCACGGTCTGAACCTACATGTTTTCAGTCTACAAAAGCAGAGAATTAAACTTGTATGGTAGTAAATTACCCATGATGACAAACCCTCATATGGCAAAATATGTTGGTACATATATTTCCGAAGAACAGGAATGCAAAGCATAATACTCAGTGTTGGGATCAGCTGATAGTCACACGTGGGCAAACAGTAGTGTAGTAGTTATCACTCTGGACTCTAGCTAGGAATACCCTATCTGAGCCTAGCCTACCTCAAATGCTTATTACACTGTAGGTGTAGGTAACGCACATTTGTGGATGCCACCTCGAGCTCAATGGAAGGATGGGATACTAACGTAAACATTAAAGTACCATATAGTGAACAGCCTACTATTTCACATACTGGTGGGGCTCATTTTGAGCTGCTCATAACAGATTGTAGACAATCGTATTATTTTTTACACATATATTTAATTCAAGGAAGAGACACCTTTAGGTCATTTCAGATTGTGCACCAAAGGCTCTTGCCAGGTAAATGATTAATTCAGAATGGCTGTTTTCCAATTTCTCAAGTGCACAACACTGGTGAATAGTACTCCTGCTGAGTACTTTTTTTCTGCTGTGAACATGTCCCTCCATGTTCCTGAGTTCAACTTGGGATACTTTCTTGTCCCCCTTTGCCCCAAGCACCCACCCAGAAAGCTTGCCTTACCTTTCCTTCAAACCTGGCCGTGCTTCCAAGTGGCACCCGGATATTCCTTGGAGGTAAAGTAAACGCCGGTGCTTCTGTTGGAGCAGGAGACTTTAGAGAGGAGTGGTCCAGGGTCAAGGTGGCTTTGGAGATCCTAGTAGTCGTTACCAGTTTCACATCCCCCATGTTAAGAGCTTTAAAAGCAGATGAAAAACAAGGAAGTACAAATGCCAGTTATTACTTCTATAGGGGCACTGTCAAACCACAGAGAAAATTAAATTAAATACCCAAGTCTTATTTATTTCAGAGGGAGAAGGAAGTAGGATAAAAGCTGAAAACAGGCAATTGTTTCTCAGAACACTGAAGTGTTAAATCTCTTTCATCCAAATCAGTGCAAATTAAACGTGCTCAACTTTTGCAGTATTATGCCCAATAAGAAGACATTAAACCTATAGGAAAAAGGACACCGTTGCTCTGGAAACCCCTTGGCTGCAAGAACCATGAGAATTTTTTTAAAAAGAAACCGAACACATAAAATAATTGATCCCTCCTTGTGTGTGAAAAACTGGAGGAATAACCAAGCTAAAGCAACTATGAAATAATAACCACAAGAGCTTAATGGGAAAGGGGTGGAGGGGAATCCAGCAACCTGAAAACTACTTGCATCAGTAATAAATAAATACAATCGTCTAGACGAAAAGTGTGGTTTTAAAGATGGACTGTCTCCATTTATATGGCTTTTCCAGGACAGGACAGACAAGAATTAACTGTACTATAAACAATTTTGCAACAGCAAGCCTCACAATGGGGAAGGGAAATGAACCAAAAGCCAAGAATTATGCCTACAGTAGTTGTGCCTTTTCTTCTCACTGATTATACAAACTGATTTCACAAAATGTGATGGCAAATCATCAGCAAAGGAGTTTCAGAAACAACTATGCAGCTGCATTTGGAAAGCTGCAGATTATTTTTTCTCTGTGATTTTTAATGTCTGCTAGGTCAAAGTCATAGTGATCCCATACCAACCACTGAATCCCCTTATAAATCTCCACACAATCAAATACAGCTTTTGCCTTGCTGTGGCACTACTCGTCAACAATATGAATTCTAGACCCCACTGAACCTTGCTCTGACTTGCTTTTTATTCTTGTTGCTCTCAGTCTCATTCAGTCCCTACATCTACTTGTTGGTCCCTCAAGTGTCTTGCAACAGCTATTTCCAAATTTTAGTAATGCAATTCTTAAATTCTGCACTGACTTCAAGGCTCTCTTGCCTTTTGCAAGCAGGGGAATCTAGGCCTACTAGAAGAAAGGCTGCTAAAATATTTTTTGATGAAGATTTTCTCCACAGTAAGAGCAGGAGGAATCTCTTTTAAAAAAGGAAAACAGAGGTTAAAATGTTTAAAACATGCAATACCACACAAATTAAGCTTTTTGGCCACCTGGGTAACTAAGCAGCTGGATATCTACCTGCCAGCAAAGCAGACCCACTTTTTATATTCAGGTATGTAATGGCCACTGCCCCAAGTGCCTCTAGCAACTTCTTTCATGATTCTCAGAGTGGATTAACGATCACTCCCTCTTCACAAGGAATCTGGGAACTGTAGCTCTGTGAGGGGGATAGGGGCCGCAGCACCATTAACAAACTTCAGTTCCCAGAATTCTTTGGTGGAAACCATAACTTTTTAAAAATGGGATCAGTGTTTTAAATATATGGTGTGTGAATGTGGCCTTATCCAGGTGACACTGGGTGTACTGAATGTCAACATCAAGGATGCGGGCCAAATCCAGCCCCCTGAGGCCTCTCTACCTAGCCCTCAGAGCTCTCCCAAGGCTACCACCCTCTCAAGCCCTGCCTTGTTCCAGTGTGTTTTTGCCTAACTCAAATGTGTCCTTGAACTTTGATAATTCTGCTTGCTTGCTTGCTTGCTTGCTTGGAAGTTAGAAGGAGATGTGTGAGAGTATACAGATTAGCTTACTGTACAAATTTAACATTTATGTTCATTGCTTCTTCCAATTTTGCCAGTTTTGGCCCTTTGAAGGTTTCCCACAAGGGAATGGGAACCTCGAGCTGAAAACTGTTTTCTACCTCAATACTGTACAACGTCATTAAAAAAGGTAAGTGATGAATTTTTTTTTTAATTTTTTTTTTTGGTGATGAATTTTTAATGAACAAGACTTATGTAACGATTAAAAGAAAAGGTGGGGGTCTCTGGCATGTTACATGTGCAATACTTTCAGAAATGTATGTGAAACAGGAAGCGACACCTCTGTCCTCATCTGCTGACATTTATAAGACAATAGCCACGAACACAAAAAATAATCATCAACAACTTTGTGCAGTTTTAGGCAATTATCAATTTATTAGGGAAAGGACAAAAGCACTAGTTCACAGGGAGGAAAAATGTGGACCTTAAGTCAAGAAATTATTTTCCCTTCTTGTTTTTCCAGTAAAATAAAAGTCTGAGATCACAGTTGGATCCCATTCATGAGACTGTCCCAAGAAAAGTAGACAATCCACTTTGATTTTTTCACACATATAATTGTTTTCAAAAGTCACAGTACAATTACTAAACATTACCTAGTCTATTCTGCCCTGTGCAGTCACAAAACCTAGAGAACCTATCTGAATGTGCACACACACAACTATAGCTCCAATGCTTTTCTCCAAGCTATCGCATGCCTTGTCATGAGGAATGCCAGGGGCTCCACAACCACAGGTTGTTAATGCTAAGTTATTACAGAGGTGACACTAGGGTGAGGACAAGCATGCTAAAGGCTGGAATGCCGGAATGGGATAGAATCTGGCTTACAGGAAGGAATGCATAAAGGCACCTGGATTCCATTTTCAAGTTCTCTATGAGCGCTCTGAAATCTAGGTAAAAGATTGCTACCCTCCACCCACCAGCTGCTAACTGAAAAATTCAGTGCATTACCCACACCTGAGAAAGAAAAATATTTTCATCCATAAACCTAAAGGTAAAGGGACCCCTGACCATTAGGTCCAGTTGTGGCCAACTCTGGGGTTGCGGTGCTCATCTCGCTTTATTGGCCGAGGGAGCCGACGTACAGCTTCTGGGTCATGTGGCCAGCATGACTAAGCCGCTTCTGGCAAACCAGAGCAGCACACGGAAACACCGTTTACCTTCCCGCCAGAGCAGTACCTATTTATCTACTTGCACTTTGTGCTTTTGAACTGCTAGGTTGGCAGGAGCAGGGACCGAGCAACGGGAGCTCACCCCGCCGCGGGGATTCAAACTGCCAACCTTCCAATTGGCAAGTCCCAGGCTCTGTGGTTTAACCCACAGCGCCACCCGCGTCCCTATCCATAAGCCTACCTGCACCCTATAAGCATAGGACCTTCAATGGATGAAATATCAATAATACAGCATAAAGGTGTCTTTTAGTGGATAAAAACTCTGGAGTCTTCTGTAATGCATACTCATGTCCATAATTTTAAAGTAAGAGGGTGAGTGGAACTTCACATGAGAAGGCTTATATTCCAGTCTTCCACTCTGCCATGTCTGTTTTTCTTAAGAAATCATATTCCAAGGTTTAGCCATCCCCAAATATGTAATGCAGTCACTTTCATGACAGCATATCCATCACAGCGGATGTAAAGTGAGATGGAGACTTGCCAAAGGCCTCATGTCTCGTATTCCAGTTCCTCTTTTCTTTTTAAGGAATGCTAATCTGTTTTCTTTATTAATTGAAGAGACCCCACAGTTCTATACTATGCTAATATTCCTACTATTCCTATT